CTAGGGCAAAAGGGGAGAAATAGTGCCAAGATTGCTGGCTATAAGCAGACGCCAGGGTTCTGTCCCTTTCCTGGCACTCCTGGGTCACTACCCCTGCCCACCTCTCCGTAACCGACTGTGCCATCGCTGCCTTCTTTGGGAAACCTGTCACAATCAGTCTAGTATTTGGCTCTGGAAAAGTTCTCCACCCTTACTGGGGTCTCCTGGGAAGGCCTACCACTGGTCAGGATCGGTCAAGGACACCCCACAAAAGCCAGAGCCCCCGGCCTCTTTCCACAGTTCCTCACAGGCTGTGCCTTGAAGTGACCTTCCATCCCATCGCACCCTGCTTTCTTGGGGGTGGAGGGTGGGTGGGGCAAAGGAACAGCAGGTGAGCTAGGACCTGGAGACTGGGTTTCTGTGGAAGGACACCGGTGGATCTGCACCACGATATTTGTTGGCAGCAGCAGGAAGCTGCTAAGTTCTGAGCCTCCCAGCAGGGACAGGAGGCAAGGGAGCAGCCTGAACAGGAGCCTGAGAGCCGCAGGCAGGTGTGTGAGCCTGAGTGTTCCTGGCAGGGAGTCAGATCTGATCAGGCACAAGGCCTAGGCTGTGGACAGCATCTCCTGAGGTCACCCTCCAAGACTCCTCGTTCTCCTTTGCTGGCATGGCAGGGAGGCAGGTAGAGTGGGGGTGGTGGGTGGAATTGGCAGCTGTGCTCCTCTTGTAGTCGGGGTTCAGGGGAGGCAGGTGGGCAGAGTCAGATCTCATCAGGATCCCAGCTAACTCACGTGTAACCAGGAGGACGCGCTCCAGCGTCCCACTCGCCTGCCCTGTGGGGGAAAGAAAGGTTCACCGAGAATGCATACCAGGAGGGATGTTTAACCTATTTATAAGATGAAATTATTTTCAAGGGCTTTAGCATATCTATTTTACTTGCCAATGTGCTAATTACGTGCTGTTCTTATCTATTCATGAACGTGGGTCCCTATCGTGATGGTCTCTATTGGATTACATGTTACTGAGCTATCTTAAATCTGCTCTCCCAGTCTCAGGCTAGTCAGGAAGCCAAGCCCTCCCCCACCGTCAACAGGATGAAGTGGCTGTGTGTGTGTGGGGTGGGGGGGCACTCTGGGGACTCTAAAGTCCCTTTCTGAAGGTGCGCTAACCTTTCTCCTTACGGACCAACGTGCACTCTCCACTTTGGCAGGGTCTCTCGCTACCCTCCGTTGTACGGACGCCCCAGCCATCTTTGTTCATGAAGTTCCACCAGCCAGAAATGCTCCCCATTCCCACTTCTAGGTGTCCAAATTCTACTCCCTTCCAAATGAAGGTCCATTTCAAATCTTTCCTCCTTCCAGGAGCTTTTCACAGATACTCCAGCCCCCATATAGGTCCAGTTAAGCCCAGACCAGAAAGACCCTGGGCATTTATTCAGCTGAGGGCAGGCCAGTCTTCCTGGCTCCGCCAGAGATATGAGAAGGGGGACAGGACACTTGGAACCTGGAGCTGTGTTTCTGCTGGTCCCCTGGTCAGTGCCCTAGGAAAACGAGGAAGTGGGTGCTGGGAGTCTGGGCTAATGCTCCCAGGGGTGGGCAGGCTGCATGAGGCCGGCTTGTCCCTGTGAGCACTGCTGGCCTGGCTCGTCCAGGTTCAGGGACAGCTATACTGGGAGAAGTCTGTGCCCTGGAAACATCTCTACTTGCAGGGGTTCCAGGTCTTTCGAAACTAGGAGTGTGGGCAGCATGGTGAAGTCTAGATTCACATCCCGTTTCTGCCACTTGTGAGCTGGGCTATCTAAGGCTGGACACTAAACCTCTCTGGGTCTCAGTTTTCTCATTTGTAAAATGGTGATAGTCACAGTTACTCTGAAAGGTGAGATAATTTATGCGACGTGCCTGACACACACACAGAAGGTATTCCATATTCCATAAATAGGAGTTTTATGTAGTAAAAGGAGCCAGGGTGGCACTGTGGTTAAGCACTCATCTGTTAACCAAAAGGTCAGCGGTTCGAACCCACCAGCAGCTGTGTGGGAGAAAGATGTGGCAGTATATTTCTGTAAAGATTTCAGCCTTGGAAACCCGAAGGGGCAATTTTACCCTGTCCTGTAGGGTTGCTATGAGTCAGAATCGACTTGACAGCAACAGGTTTTATGTGGTGTAAATAACAATTAAAAACCCATCGCCGTCGAGTTTACTCTGACTCATGGTGACTCCACATGTGTCAGAGTAGAAGTGTGCTCTAGGGGGTTTTCAAGGGCTGATTTTTTAGTAGATCGCCAGGCCTTTCTTCTGAGGTGCCTCTGGGTGGACTTGAACCTCCAGTGTTTTGGTCAGCAATCAAGCACCTTAACCGTCTGCACCACTCAGACCCCTTCTCAAATTTATACCCATATCAAAACCCACTGCCCCCTTTTCCAGGACACCCTTGCACCCTGGCCCCATTTGGGGCAAGTAGCCAGGGGATGGGCCGGGAACCACTGATGAACATTAGCCACGGCCATATACTGCCAGGGTGGGTGCGGGATCTCCTGGGGGTGGACAGTTCCTGCCCGGGGCTCTCAGAGCTCCCTGGCTGTGTGCCTCAGTTTCCTCCTCTGTGGGAAGGCCCATCTGGACTGTTCTACAGGTCTCTTCTCCCTGACTGTTGTAAATATGAGAGACTAGGGGTCTAAAAACAACCTTGCTGTTATCTGAGAGGCAGGACTACAGTCGATGTCTTCCTCAGAACTAGGTGTGCCTACACCTGGGCGGGGACTGCCCCCATCTCAGCCCCAGCAGCCCCCCTTGGGGACCTCCTGAATGAGGGGCCTATTGGTGACAGGTCTCAGGCCATTGGTGTCTGGCAGAGGGACTGGGACCTCCCTGCTCTCACACCTGGGCTAGGGAGAGCTAGCCATGGCCCACTCATTTTCCATCCTGGTAGCTGCACCCAGTTAGCTCTTTAGGGCTCTGACCTCACCACAGGCTGAGGAGAGTTCCCCCACTGCAGAATATCTCGCCCAGCCTCATCCTGATGGTATCCCTGGTATCTGCTCCTGAGCAGTCTCCTCACGGCTGGAGCTGGACAGCCCCTCCTCTGGTCCCTCAGGCAGGGGCAGTGGGCTGCCAGGCCTGCCGGTCAGGCCTTTTGGGCCCCGACGTGAGGAGCAGAAACCCTTCCCAAGGGACCTGGCGGGATGTAAATCTGGCTGAATTGAAATGTGAGGCAGGGAGCCCTCCTTAGAAAGAGGGGCTGTGAATTAGGCTGCAGCCACCTCCTGACCTCGAGCCGCCGTGGGAGACCAAGCAAAGCAGTGTGTGTGACCTAGGGGTGGCTCCCAGTTGGATGGGAGAGGCCTCTTCCCTCGTCCTGCTCAGGGCTCCCTGCCCTAGAAATCACCAGAAAGCTGGGTTGGGGCCACACTGGTCACAATGCATGTTCAGTATCTTCAAGTTTCTCATGTGCTTTCGAGTCCACCATCTTATCGGAGCCTCACAACAGCCTGTAAGGTAGGTGAAGACTATAGACCCATGTTATAGATGAGGTAGATAAGACTCAGAGAGGTGAACTGGCTTGCCCAAGGTCACACAGCCACTATATAGCAGAACCAGTCAGGACTTGTTCCCCTGCATCCAGAATTAAAGGAGCCCTGGTGGCGCAGTGGTAAGAGCTTAGCTGCTAACCAAAAGGTTGGCAGTTGGAATCCACCACCTGCTTCTTGGAAACCCTATGGGACAGTTCTACTCTGTCCGATAGCGTCTCTATGAGTCGGAACTGACTCGATGGCAACAGGTTTGGTTTTTGGTGGCACAATGGTTAAGTGCTTGGTTGCTAATGAAAGGTTGGTGGTTTGAACCCACCAGCCACTCTGCGGAAGAACAGAGCCGGTGATCTGCTCCCATAAAGATTTATGGCTTAGGAAACCCTATAGGAAAGTTCTGCTCTGTCCTATAGGGCTGCTATGAGTCAGAATTGACTTCATGGCACACAACAACAATAAGACAACACTATAAAAATTACTTGGCATGGTACTGACATAGAGACTTGCTTAATTAAAGTGTGCCACAATTGTGATTATCATCCCAAGGATAGTCACACGCTGTCCCTATGCAGGTCATGCCCCAGATGGAGCCCTGGTGCCTCTAGGCTCATACCTGGTCTCTGTTGGTGTCATTCAAGACCTGTTAAGGTGGGCTCAGGGCCCAGGTGTGGAGACGCAGGGGGCAGAGTGGGGCACTGGATTCCTCTCCAGGCTGCCTGGTGTAGATGGCCAGAAGCCTGTCTGTGGCCCTCGCTCACAGCCCCCCCACCCCCCGCCCGGTGGCTGCCACCTGCTTTCTCATGTTGATCTCAGGTCAGCTCAGGGCCAAGCCAGGGACTGGCTGAGGCTCTGCCTGAGTCTTTGATCTCTAGAGGAGCATGGACCAGACCCAGCACAGGAGCTGGGAGGACTGAAGGTGGCCTAGCCGGATCCTCCACGGTCTGTGGAGCCTGTCCACGGGAGCAGCTTGCCTTTCCTCTGGTCCCAGGCAGCCCTGAGATGGAAGGGATGGGGGTGGGGTGGGTACGTCCTGTCATGCCTGCCTGCCTTGGAGTAGAGGGCACGAGGGTGCAGGTGATCATGGGCCTGGCCCGAGTGATGCCACCTCCAGGCTTCGGTGCTGCAGTCTCCTCCAGTCCACACCGACTATGACCTTGGACTTGAGACTGCCCCTTTCAGAGCAGGCCTCCTCCTGAAGAGGCCCTCTGGGACACGGCCTGGGCCATCAACCCGACTCTACCACAGGGCTCGGCCCTGGAAGAGGAGCTCCGGACTACCTCTACCCCAGTCCCCCAGGGGAGAGGCTTGGCCTCAGGACCCCCAGAGAAGTGGCCCCCACACCAATGATCCCATCCTCCATCTTGGTAATTCACATACTTTCACGGACCCCCTTCAGGAGCCCTTTAATGAGAAGGGCTGGTGGTTCTGGCCAGCGGGCATCTCTTGTGTCCAAGATGAGCTTCGTGACGGCCTTGGGGTCAGCGGGGCCAGATCCTTAGCATTTTTAAATTTTATTATGACCGTGTTTGTTTAAATATATATATATATTTATAGCTCTGTGTGCCCACTGCCACCTGCCCCCCCGGCCCCTAGTTTTTCCCTCTGGCTTTCTGTCTGGTGGCCGTGTAGGGCAGCACCGTTTGTGTGCTCTTGTCTGACACTGTCTGGGTGCTGCTGTTCCTTGTGACCCTCCGCGTAGGCTCAGGGGCCAAGGTGGGGCCTGAGCGGCGGCCGGTCAGGGGAGAGCGCCTCAGCTTATGGGGGGCTGGGGAGGGCTTGAGGGGGCCCGCGAGAGCCTCTGTACGGGGAGGCTCGGTGGGCAGGCCCACCTCCTCTTCCTCTGCCTCCTCTTCGCCATCCCCCTCCTCATCGTCACAGCACAGTGCGTGGTAGAGCACTTTGTCACTGAACCGCACTCTCTCCCGTGTGCCCGGGGTCCGCTGGGGCAGGTGGCCTTTGGCAGGGGCAGCGCTGAAAGCCTCCTCGCTGGAGGAGTCTGGGGTTTCCACCCGAGGCCCATTGGGGATGGGCACGCCGCCGTTCATGAGCCGGTAGTCAGGGCCAGCACCTGGCCGGGCCAGCTCAGGGCCGTCCACAGAGTCCGAGGGGGTGGACATGTCCAGGAAGGAGCAGAACTCCCAGCTGTCTGAGAGGATGTCGGCTGTCATGAAGTCCAGGTGGCCCAGGTCAAAGGGGCCGCCCGCGCCCGCCTTGTCACTGCTGGAGGTGCTGCTCACAGTGGCTGTGGTCCAGTCATCTGGCTCCACTTCAAAGTCGAAGTCTGAGGTCAGCTTATCGATCTGGCTTACCACCTGGCCAGGGAAGGGGAGAGGAGATGAGAGGTGCCAGGTGGGGGCTAGAACCCCATCGGTGTGAGTGCACCCCACCTGTCTGTGGTAGACCCCAGCTGGGAGCCCTACAGGATGGTGACTGATCTTGTCACAGGTGTGTTTGCCCTGTTGAGAGCCTAAATTGAGCCAGGGTGAACAGAGCTTGTTCCGGACTACCTCCACCTCTACCCCCAGTCCCACAGGCCTGTTTGCCCCTCCTTAGTCCCTTCCAGCCCTGCACCCCATCCCTTCACAACCTCTCTCCCTCAAAGCCAGCCACTGCCTGGAGGTAGTCCTGGTGATCAAGGCTTGATCTACCTTTGATTGAGAGGAGGCCATTTAACAGAGGCTGAGGAACTCTTAAGTGAGTCCCACTTGGTGGAGCGGTGAGCAGCCCACCCACCCTCAAAGAGGAAATGATATGGGTGGCCATGAAGAAGACCCTGTCTGGGCTCTCTAAAGCAGCCGGTTAATGACTGTCCCCATGGATCTTCCACAGCCCGTCAGGACAAGAAGACCAGGTGTGCGGCCCTGGCTAGGTTACCCTCCTCCCAAGCCCCTTCCTTGCCCACTGCCGAATGGAGGTCAATCCTGGCTTGTCTGGAGAAGGAATAAAGCAAGCACTATTTGGTAAGCAATCAAGAAACCATCAATCCTGGGTACAGAGCTGCTTGTTAAATGATCTCAGGGGGCAGCTCGGCTGCGGAGGTCACTGGACCCTGCCCACCCTGCATAAAGCGAAGCCCTGGGAAAATGTGGCAGGCAGGCCTCATACGGATGGGCCTGCCTTAGGACACCCCCTTGCCTGGCCCCTGTTGGCACCTAAATCAGGACGGAAGATGGGAAGGACGGGGGGAGAGGGAGACCCAGTCAGAGACATAGGAGGTGGATAGGGGAAGAGGAGGGAGAAAGGAGAGTCAGGCTAGAAACAAAATAGCAACAAAAGCAAAATGGAGGGGCCGAGAGTTAGGGCGGCAGAGCCCCAAAGACAAAGAGATCCACAGCGAGTCATCAAGACCGGACTCTAGCTCCCAGCGCCTCTCCAGTGTTCTTCACCTGTGATCAGAGCAGTCAATTAATTAATTAACTAATTAATTCCTTGATTCAGCAAACACTGACTGAAGACTACTGCTGTCCTGGGATTGCTGGGTCTTCAGGGAGGAGTAGCGGTGGTGAGTGTCCCCAGGCGAAGGGGGGAAGCCAGGGCAAAAGTGGTTGGGCTCAGAGGCAAGATTACTTGGTGACCCAATGCAGGTGACCTTGGTCAGTCATTTTCCCTCTCTAGGTCTCAGTTTCTCAATCTGTAAATGGGGTGGCGGGGTGGACTAGCTTATCTCCTAGGTCTCTTTCATCTCGGAACTTCTAGGACTCTATGCTTTTAGGAGTGATTGAGAACCTGCTTTGGGGTGCCAATGCATAGGTATGCCCATACACCATGGATCCAGTTCTAGAGTGTAGGGACCACTTGGCTGAGGCCTGAGGGCAGCTGGGGGAGTCAAGACACCTGGCTCCCAGACTTAACTTAGACATTACTCTGTGTGACTTTGGGCCAGCACATAACCTCTCTGGACCTCAACTTCATTCACCATCAAGTGGGTATGAAAAGCCCAGCCTGCCAACCTCATGGAGTTTCATGAAGAACAGTGAGAAGGGCAGCAAAAGAGCCCTGTGAATGGTCAGTGATAAAAGTGACAACATCTTCCATCTCTGGAACACCTACTATGTGCCAGGCTTTCATCTGTGCTCTTGAGTCTTCACTACCACCTATGAGACCGTCATCTCCTGGGTTTACAGATGAGGAATCTGAGGTGCTCATCACCAGGGGAGCTGAGATTCTTCCCTGCAGCTCCTCTTCAAAACTGCGTACTTCCGGGAGGTGCTGCTGTGGTTTCTGGGTTTGGGCAGGCAATGGAGGGGGGGCCCACCCTCCAATCTGGCTACCCCTTCTTATAGTCCCCCTCCCAGGATGACTCCAGCTACCTTATAGCAGCCCTTGCTTAACTCCATCTCCAGATGAGGACTGGTGGGAGCTTCAGCCTAGGATTAAACCAAACCAATTGCCATCAAGTCAAGTCCAACTCATGGCAACTCCATGTGTGTCAGAGCAGAACTGTGCTCTACGGGTTTTTTTTGTTTTTTGTTTTTTTTTTGTTATTGTTTAACTTTTTATTTTGAACTAATTCTAGATTCACAGGAAGTTGCAAAGAAAAGCACAAGAAGGGCCCACGTACCCTTTACCCAACCTCCGCCACTGTGAACATTCTGCATGGTAGCATTAACTATAGCACAACATCCAAACCAGGAAATTGACATTGGCAGAATCCATAGAGCTTATTCAGGTTTCATCAGTTTTACACACACTTTCATGATATAACACCTTTCAGAAGCAGATCACCAGGCCTGTCTCCTGACTCCATAACGTTTTCAATGACTGATAACTTGAAAATAGATCAACAGGCCTTTCTTCCAAGGCCCTTTGAGTGGACTCAAACCGCCAACCTTTCAGTTAGCAGCCGAGCACGTACATTTGCATTATCCAGGGTAAGGGTCCTCAAACTTGAGTGTGCATCATCAGCTCACTCCTCAGAGTTTCTGATTCAGTAGCTCCAGGGTGGGGCTAGAGAAGGCGCATATCTAACAAGTTCCCAGGTGATGCTGCTGTTGCTGCTCCAGAGACTATACTTGGAGACCCACTGGCCTAGGGTACTGGGGATTTAAACTGGGCAAAGACACAGCAGGTTAGGGCATTAGGGGACTCCAGAGACGCCCAGTGGTATCTGGGGCAGCCACAACCTCAAATTAGGCTCCCCTGATCAAGTGCGGTCCTGGGTGGTACAAATGGTTAATGAACTTGGCTGATAATCGAAAGGTTGGAGGTTCAAGTCTACCCACAGGCACTTGGAAGGCCTGGTGATCTACTTCCTAAAGGTCACAGACATTGAAAATCCTATGGAGCACAGTTCTACTCTGACACACATGAGGTTGCCATGAGTGGAGGATGACTTCATGCCAACTAGTTATAAGTGAGGGCTGTTGAGAGTCTGCTGCTGCCTGAGTGTGGGGAGACAATGCCAGTAGTGATCTGGAGTTAAGTGACTGGACCTGATCTCACAGGCTTGGCTGTGGCTACGCTGGGCCCAGAAGCTAGGCCTCCTAATGCCCAGTGAGGACGAGCCCCTCATGCCTCAGACCTGGCAGCAAGGAAGATCTAGGCTGCACAGAGCAGGAGCCCTAAAGCCTTCAGGCCTGGACACACTCCCCCAACCCAGGAAGCTCAAGCTTGCCACGTCTTGGTGATTTCCCTTCTCCAAGTCTCCTGTAAAATGGGATGACACTCCCCTTCTCATTTAGGGTGATGGGGATTCAATAGATATGAATGTGCCTGAAACTGCGGGGTCAGCACAGCCAAGTGCTTAAGAACCTGGGCACTGGAGCCAGACCCAGGATCCAGCTCTGACCCACCATTTACTGTTGGCCAAGTTACTCAACCTGTCTGTGCCTCAGTTTCTTCATCTATAAAAGGAGAAATCTAGCAGTACCTCCTCGATAGGACCGTTGTGAGGATGTAATGCCTGAAAAGCATGTGGAACAACACAGACTGCTAATATCCACTAGAGTCTCCCGGGTGGTGCACACCGTTAAGCACTCAACTACCAGCCAAAAGGCTGGTGGTTTGAACCCACCCAGACAGCCTCAGAAGACAGCCCTGGCGATCTGCTTCCAATAGGTCACAGCCTTGAAAACCCTGTGGAGCAGTTCTACTCTGCACACATGGGGTGCTCTGAGTTGGAATCGACTCGACGGCAGCTAAGAACAGAAGATCCACTATGCACCGGTGGGCACCAGCATGTGACCAGGCCCCTGGCACCGGGCCCAAGTGATGGGAATCAGCTCTTCACCAAAGTGATGACACACTGGTGGCGAAATTTCAGTGCCTGTGACAGGCTAACGGGGATATATTGGGCCTTTCAAACTGCAGCACACGGGTAGCACCTACTTTGCCTGAGTAGGGCTGTCTCCAGCCAGAGTAGAAGCAGAAGAGATTCTACACAAGAAGCCCGGTGGCTGTGAGGCTCACAGGCAGATCTGGTCCAGGGCCAATCACACCTACTTGACGAGTGACACGAGTGAGGCTCAAGAAGGGAAATGACATGCCCAAGGGCACATAGCTTGTATGTGGGGACCTGGGTCTGCCCTCAAACTCCCTGCCCCTCCCTGGGGCCCCGTTTCATGGAGCCAGTGAAGAGGGTAGGGGCAGGTCCCAAGCTACCTGCCTCTCTGCTTTGGATGCCTTGAAATCTGTGATTTCTCTCAGAGATTTAATAATCATTTTACCTACATGTAATTTGGGATTGTCTTGGAGTGCAGGGAAATAATTATATACACAGAAGGGAAGAGAAGGAGAGAGAGAGAATGCAGGGAGAAGCGGAACCATAAAATCACAGAATCATGGTACCTCGAAGTGGAAGGGACTGGAAACACTGTTGACTGAGTTCATCCTTCTCATTATTCTTGTTGATTGGGAAACTGAGGCCCAGAGACAGGAAGGGGCTGAACTGAGACCATAATGCACTGTCCTGACTCCGAGGCCTGGCCCCTTAAAACCAAGAATCACCTGCCCTGGAGGGGGCAAGAGGGAGCACTAAAGAGGAAGGGCAGGGCTGAGGGCTGTGACAGAACCCGCTGGGGGTCCCAGGCCCTGTCCCCGGGACAACCCTGGCCTGTGTCCTGGTCACAGCCTTGCCTTGCTCACCTCAACACTGTATCCTCTGGTCTTCCCATTGCTGGTAGCTTCCTGTCTGGGTCCTGTTCCACCCTGCATCCAGGGAACTTTCTAATCAGCACTATGTCACCCCTCTTGTTCCAGCCCTTCTCTGCTCCCCAAACACAACCCAACAACAAATCTGGCCACAGGTCCTTTCCTCTCCAGCCAGGAGCCTCCCACTGCCAGGCCGGCCTCACCACACCACACCCTGCTCACT